AGGCATCAGAATCACTTTCATTTATATTTATATCACATGGATCAGAAGTTGGAGGCTCTGTGGCAAAGAATGCTCACACTCCCTGTGATAAAAAGCAGCAGAAGGTCACTCTGAGGGGGCAAATTCAGCATGATGCTGTCTCAGCATATGTGCTTGTCTTTACAAGAATGTTTATAAAAATTGAAGGCAAACTCTTCTGTGGAGGGGTTGAATTTGGAAAACGCACTAGGTGCCATGGATCCCAAACTACAAGCCTTTCCCATTATTCTTACAGGCAGGAGTTGAGTCTAAAGTGGAAGACGTCTGCCATGCTCACATTGACTCTCTTTAAATCCCCAACCTACAGAAAACAAGTCTTGCTAGAAATTTTACTTTGTATTTTAAATTAATAAAGTAACCAGAGGATAGATAGAAACTAGCTAATTAGAAATCACTGGAAACTGGAGTAAATAGTTAACAACATACATTCAAAAGTCAGTTTTAGAAGGAAAGGGTGATAGACTTTTCAAGTTATCATTTCAACTCTTATTTCTCAAGAGTTTTTGTCTTTAACCCTACCTTCTGAAAAGGTTCTTCTAGCTTCTCCATGTCTTAGTGTTTCTCAAAGTTCCCATTTTAACATGTTGAGTGGAGATTAGAAGTGGCCCCTTATATATAATTCAGACATTTTGCTCATGGAAGGAAAAACAAACTTTTTTTACTTTCACAACATTCCATCATTCAGCGCACACTGTCCGTTTGTAAGCTTTCCCTGAGCTATTAAAACAGGAAGAAAAAGAACAACAACAACAAAAAAAATAATAAAAACAAAACAAAACAAAAAAACCTTGTCTTTTCAATTTCCCATCAAGAGGATTGAGAACTGATCAGTTTCTGAAAGAATGGAAACAAAACATTCCACTTCAAAAATAGATTTCTTACCTGCAAACATCTTCCATGAAAGGTGTGCAGCTGGGCAACAGAATCTCAAAAAGCCTCAGTTATCACGTGGTACTTACTTGCCCCTTTCCAAAATGTTGAATGTTTTTACAGAAACTTCAAGGGCAGCTTTAAGGATGTTTATATTGCAGACAACCTAAACACTGTTTGCAGCAAAATGGGAGATTTCATTTGGGGACAAGCAAGTTGATGAATTACAGCCAGCGTATTCTTCTCAAAGAAGGCATTTTTACTGGGCGCTTTTAGTCTAGACACACAAAGAAGAAAGGAAGATGGAGAGAGAAGAACATTCTCCCTCCAACACTCACCTTTTACATGGTACCTTGGCCAACAACACAGCAAACGGTTCATAATAAATCAGACTTAGAGTCACCAGTCGGCTCACTCGGGAGCCTGTGATCTGTACTCCTAAGCCATAAAGGGTATTGATTGATTTATTTCCCTGGTTACATTCTTCCACGCTGGTAAAACATTTTGTGGGCCAATAAATGTTTGGTACCAAGTGGCAAACAAGAAGGATCACATCAAAGACTTCCTTGAGGGTCGATGTTTTGTTGCATAGGAAATACTTTCCGAGTTCACCTCTGACCCCTGGTGTTGCAAAGGTCAAGGGTAAAGAAGAGAGCAAAGTTGAAAGCAATTGTTTGGACCAGCTCAAGGGCACAGCAGCACAGCGGAGGGGCAGAGGAAGCACAGAGAAATGATCATGATCGTTTTGCTAAACAGATGCAATAATTAGCCTAGCTGACTGTCCCAATAAAAGAGCATTGGCAAGGTGAGACTATCTGCTTCTTGTCTGGGGTTGACTACAGACATAATAATGTAGCTCCTAACAGGTGAGAAAGGACATCACTCAATGGGTGCAATTTCCAAAACTGCAAAAAAAGACAAATTCAGTGTTTCTGGACCTGACACATTTGCTATAGTTTTGTTGCTGTTATTGCTGTTTGTTTTTTTATTTAGTTTTGTAAGTTCAGCTTCTTAGCTATGTGACTTAGCCTATTCATGAAAGAACAGGGCTGTCTTCTCCCCCTGTTCACATTGCTACGGTCATTGCCTTGCACTTTGATATAAGCTGGATCGAATCCAAGTATTTATCGAATATCTAAATTATCTCCCACACTTGCCAACCCACACTAAATATAGAATAAACAGTAATGAGCATTCCAGCCTGGTCTTTCCGAGAGAGTCCTACAAGATAGAATAGAATTGGCTACGAGGCAGGAAAGGGCTGCTGAATCTTCCAATGTCTGCTGAATAACAATTGCTTGTTAATCTACCATGATTATTGATGTTTTAGTATTATTCAAGAGTCACAACTCAGAGCAGGGCTGAGGACAGGGCTCAATGGTTACAATGCTTGCCACACAAATGTCAGGACCAGAGTTCAGTTCCCCAGAACTCATGTGAGCATTGTAGCATGCTGGAAGTTCTGGCCTCAGAAGGGAGAGGCACAGCAGATTCTTACAACAAGCATGTTAGGGAATAGTCATTTCCACAAGATATCAACCTCTAGCCTCCAGTGAGCATGCATGCTTGTGCCCTCAGGTATGTGCACACACATACTCACAAGGGTGCAAACATGCAGGAACATACACACACAAAATATACTGAATTTTCACACAAAAAGGTGAGAGGGGAGGACTGGAGAGATGGCTCAGGGATTAAAATCACTGGCTGCTCTTTCAGAGGTCCTGAGTTCAAATCCCAGCAACCACGTGGTGGCTCACAGCCATCTGGAATAGGATCTGATTCCCTCTTTGGGCATGCAGGTATATATGCAGAGTGCTCATACATAAAATATAAATAAAAACCTTAAAATAATATTAAAGATGGAAAGAGAAAAAACTCAAGATAATGAAAAAATAGTGATGCAATTGTCATTAATGTTCCAGAAGTGTTCTGTTGCTTAACAATAAATACAGCAGCCAAATTTTCTGAGTTTTAAACTCAGAAATTGAAGGGGAAAGAAGGACGTTTCCTGGTTTGTGCCACCAGTAAACAAGTCTGCACTTACTCATCAGACATCATCTGAACCATATTTTTAAATTATTTTGCATTAAAATGAGAATCTGGACAATTTTGGAAGTTTTTCCTGAAAGCTTTCATTCACACATGAACCATTTACTTACATCTCCAGTTATTTTTCACACACAAGGCTCCTGTCCTAAGAATGGAAAAATTCTGGGGGCAGAATTCATGGCCCTCAGAAATTATGGCTTCTGAAATTTGTGAGTAGTTTGTATTTGAAATGATTCCTCTATGTGGAAAAAAAATCTGAGTTCTGTCTCAAGATTTTTTTTTTTTTTAAGTTAGCACTTGATCCCAGGGAAGAGAAATTCTTGGTATCCCAAGGCCAATGCTATATCTGTTGCAAGACCTTCTATGGCAGAACTATGCCAAGACAAACATTAGTGCATTTTATACCTGGCCTCATACAGTAGACCTGTAATTCCATGAGAATGAAGTGGGCTTGCCTGTGCTTTAGACAAGTTAGCAAGGCCTTGTATCAAAATAAAAAGTGAAAACGGGGAGCTGGGAATACAGTGCAGGGCCCTAGATCCCATGCCTAGCCATGAAGACATGCTTTTAAAAACTTACAACATAGGTGGAAGGTGGCATATAAGAGGTGGCCCTAATAATCATATATTGTTAATTCATATGGCACTAACACAGATCATTGTCCTGCTACAAACAGCCCAGCTTTGCAAATTTCGTTTTGGAAGACACACTCCCCTCCAAGCATTCCTACCATTGCACTTGCCACTTTATATCGTTTACATATGTTTCACTTCACATGGTTTTTAAAAGGCTGCTGCCAAATGTTCCTAGTTGGGGGAAATGATCACTTTTCAGGAAGTCATATAGTTCCAAGTTCAGTTTGAGTCAAACTCTAGGGCGGCAGAAGGGGGGAACACAGGAAAAATTGACTTTATATAGTCTTTTGGGTCCTTCAGGTAGAACTGACAAGACTGGAGCTGGCTCTTTGCTGTGGAGGAGAAGCCTTTGCTCCTCTTCTGAGAAGACTGGCCTCAGATATTTACGAACTCCGTGTGTCTGAGGATGTCATTTCACTGTAGTGGCCCTTCAACCCTCTGTGGGCTGCTTGGTGACAGAGCATCAATCACACAAGCGCTTCTGGTCTGTGGCATGGTGTCATGAAACACTTGCAGAATTCCTTGCAATTAAGAAAAAAACATTTAGAGGTTTATTAGAGCCAATTCCAGCTCCCGTGATTTTTGCCTTCTTTACTACAAATATCACTTGGCATCATGATGTCACCAGTCACCAAGTTTGCAAGAAGCTCTCCTCCAATACAGACCTGCTATTTATTCTTCCTCCAAAAATTAGTCCCCAAGCTCTATTCTGAACTAAACTCCTTGTAGCTAACATCCTTTCCTGTACCACTAGCCACCTGGTACTGTAGGTACCATGCTATCCTCTTTTGGGCTTTTTTAATCACTTAAATTATACCCAAAGACACAAACATGTTGTTGAACCAACTTGAAAGAACAATAGATGCAAACTATATCATAGGGATTTTGCAAGCTTTCAAAGCAATGGCAAGGGCTCCACATGAACAAAGGAAAAATTAAGGTAAAAATAAGTGCAATTTTCTGATAGCTATAACAAATTTATAGTTCTCTAACTCTACCCACTCCCTCTCTCTCCCCCTCCCATCCATTTTCTGCTGAAAACACTCGCACATTTCACCCAGCTTGTTGTATCCTTGGTTGCCTTCCTAAGTAGCTGTGTGAATAGCAGGGATGTGTTCAGGGTTCAAGGGATATAGGGAGGGTTGCTCATAAAAATAGCACTGTGCAATTCTACTCTGAAGTCCTTTTAGCACAACATTCCAGAAGCCCCACTCTGAACAGGTAATCCTTCTTGTAGCAGAGTACCACTGCTTGCCTTTCCCACCCCACCAACCAGCCCCTAAAAGGATGTGTGCAACTCTTGGACACAGTATTTCAGTTTCTTGAATACTTCAAGACTGCCATGGGGGAGTTACAGCACTCAAAGTTCCTTGGCCGATGTGTTGCCAATGTGAAGCCATCTTTAAGGTACATACATATCTGGGGGCACAAGCTGTGGTCCACAGCCCACAGCCATGACTGCTAAGAGGACTAAGCCTGGAGGTTGATGGGAATTTCTCTGTGGTGGTGACAGGCTTCATCTGGGGACATGAGAGACAGCTGCTTATCCCAGAATCCCCCTTGTTTCTGTTCTTTACAAGACACAGGATCCCTGAGTGAAGTTTAGTGAGAGTAGAACCAGAGTTGGTTTTCCAACCATATCTCTGTACCTGACAGGAGGGCAGCCACATCTAGAACAAAAAGCCAGGCCACAGAGAGGTGAGAGCTGAGGCTGGTGGTGGGAAGTGCCACCCACCCTGCCAGAGGAGAGGCTAGCCAAGGCTGTGCCAAGAAAGAAACTCTCCACTAAGCCTTTGAAAACACCCACTGTGCTGAACATATGAGAGCCACATTGCCACCCCACACTTAGTGGAGTGAGATTTTCTGTCCTGACCTCCTCGTTAGCTTCCCAGTCCTAATTGATAGCTACCAGCAAAAGAATTTCAAGGTCAGAGGAAAGATACATAAATAAAACTACTCCTTATGTTGTGTTAAGACATGCTAAGTAAAAGAAACAAGGGGTCATCATTTGGGGCCGAGTTGTGTCTAAGAGGTTTGACTATCAGGAATTGCAGGAGCTCCCATCAAACAAGGCTCCCAGGAATGTCCTATAAAGCCAGAGTCACATTCCATTTAGTGTGAGGTCTCCATAAGTTTGTGACCTGAGAATCCTTTTTTTCCTTCCCGATCCTTAAGCGCTTGGGTTTACAGATAGAAGAATATTGAGCTGATAGAAATAGAATAACCATAGGTCAGTTGTTTTGGGGGTGGGGGGGTGGATGGGGTGGGGGAGTAGGGGAGTCCAGCTTGGTCTCATCCTGTGAGAAGATGGAGTTAAACATGCCACACTCTGCCCTCTGCTGTGGTCTGTTCCAGGGGAGCAAGCTAAAGTGAGTCCACACCTTATGTTAGGAGAAGTGAGTCCTCTGGAGGGGACAAAGAGGGTAGCTGCCGAACAGTTTAGTGACTTTCTGGAATTTAAATATTAAGTGAAAAGACAGGGTCACGGGGCAGCTGATCCTCAGCTTGTCTCTATTTCGTCTGCCTGTGGCTTTGATCTTGCTACATCCTCCTTTCGAACCAGGACTCCACAGAGAATCTCAGGGTCATGGCCTCTTGCCTCGTCAAGATGTGAAGCCCACAGTTTGGCGGCCTGGGAGGAGAAGGGAGGTAGCTCCATGCGTTCCACATTTCCCACAAAAACCAAAAGCAGACTAAACAAAACCGGTGTGAACTCCCGTGACTTGATGCTGCAGTGATTCTATTTTTTAAACTGTAATCCGTTCGTTTGCATGCGTGTTGATTCCCTGGATTTACAGCTCTCTCCGGCTTTAGTGGGAAGGAGAATGTTTGAAACCTTTTTCAACTTGTAAGAAGCAGTGAGCTGTGGAGGAAAAAAAAAACCAGGCTAGAGGCTCCATGGCCATGTGCGTGTTCGAGCACATTCATGGGAGGGCATGCGCAGCCAGCCAGCCAGCCAGTCCTGCCAGCTTCTCCCCTCCTGTTTGCTACTTTTAAGAAGCAGCGTCACACATGGTAACATTTAGGAGCCCCTTCACAGCTGAAGTGTTTCAGACACTAATGAATGGAAGTTTGGTCATGTAGTACAGACAGGCTCGGAGGCGTGCTCTACTGAGTGGGACTCTGTAGTGACCTGGTAAAGGAAGAGAGGTATAAATTGTGTCAGTTAGCCACCCAGATGAAACGAAGCCATGTGGAAACCCAAATCTATTAAAGTATGAAAGCTATATAAGCTGGTGTAAGCTGCCCATTCTTAAAGGGGCTCCATTGGCTGCTGGAGTAAATGTTTACCTCTCTCCTGGATCTTTTTCACATGTTGTCTTTGGAGCCAGCCAGCAGCATTTGATAAAAATCAACCTCCCTCTAATGACACTTTTTATCAGAACTGTTTATTGTCTCCGCTTTACCACCCATGTCCAGAAAGGTATTGCAGGTTTGTTAAATAAGCAAAAGTTAAAGGAACTTTGTAGCTCAGACTAGGTTGCAGGAACCCCAACAAATTCCAGAGCCATAAGGAATGAAGAAAAAAAAAAAAAAAACGGGGGGGGATGGGAGGGGAAGAGGAATTGGATTTATATGGAGGCGAGGCCCTGAAAAAAAATCATATATTAGGTTTTCTCTGCTTGGCTGGCCCACCATTAAATGTTTGCCTGATGTTGACGGATTTAGTATTGAGACTGAGCAGTTATGTCAAACTTCACTCGTCTCAAAACGGCCTTTAATAAATGGGAGGGTGAGGAAATAGCTCTCAGATGCAGTGCACTTGGGGTGGGTCTGCTCTTGCTCTCCCACTGACTCTGCAGAGGAGTCAGCCCTACACCAGTCTGACTGTAGTTTTGACCCAAACCTGCCCCTGCTTGCCTTGGAACCTTGGGTATGTTTTGCATCCAGGGCTTTCCTGTCTATGAAAACGAATCTTGCAAGTGCCATGATAACACCAGCTACCATTCCAGGTATCTGGTGGGTGGGTTCACTTTCTTTCACATTGTTCTTAAGACTGGTTGTGCCAGTTTTTAAAACCAGTAAGTGGCTTGCCGTAAGGAAAAAAATAATAAATCTTTTCTTTCGTAGTGAGTAAAGCTTCCAGGGATCCCACACTCTCCAGAATGCAAACAATTGAATTTGCTGACCATCAACCATGATGCCTTAAGTCAACAGTTGACTAAAGGCAGCCCTGGGAAAAGACAATCCCTTGATTCCTCAATGAAACACAGATCAGGAGCCTGGGAAGAGAGGGCGGGGAGTGGCATGGCCACCGTCTAGTTGAGCATGCTCAGCTTTTCAATGGTGGGAGGCAGCCAGGTCTGTGGTGGTGGAGGGTGGTGCACAGGCCAGATTGTGGTACCTGAACAAGGCCTAACCCACCTGCCCTCTTGTGTTGTTGCAGGAGGAGACTGAAGAGACATCCTCGCAAGAGTCTGCAGAGGAGGATTAGAGGGCCCCGAAATTCGATTTCTACCTCAGCATCAGTTGGATCTTTCGAAGGGAGAAGACACTGCAGTGACCACTTACTCTCTACTGCCATGGTCTTTCTA